AGCTTAAAAGCCAGTTCCCCCAACTTCCAGCTCCGTGAGAGAAGGCAGAGGCACAGCAGCGGCACTTCCTCTTTGAAATGTATAAGAGCCCAGCTGGGGCTCTTGTGCATTTCAAAACAAAATCGCCACACAGAGCCTAAGGCCAGCAGGGGACCCTGAGTCCCCCGCTGGCCCGGGGCTCCACATGATGTTTCAATCTTTGAAATGCACAAGAGCCCCAGCCATTTCAAAGAGGAAGAGCTGCCGCTGCACCACACCCTGTCCCATAGAGCTGGAGGAAAACCAGCTTTTAAGCTGGCTTCCCACAACATACCCTGCTCTCCCCCCACCACTACCACCACCACCCTTGCTGCCTCTTTGTGATAAAGGCAGCAAGGAAGGGGAGGGAGCGACTAGTCAATTAGTCATTTACATCCCCAATATAAAGTCAAAAGATCAAGTCATATCTGCATCACAGAGAACCTTGTGGTCTTCTTTATGGTCAGAAAAAAAGGCTTCCTTAAACTACTTGAGAGAGAACACTCTTGAATGGGTCTTCTCAACCTGATAGTTCTTTGAAGATGCAGGCATTAGCAATCTTACCAAACAGAAGAAATGAACTGGAGAGGGACACTCTGTTATCCTATGAGAAAGCCACAGATTCCCCATCAAGATTTGCCTTGTCAAAAGAAATGACCCTAGAAACATCTCTTAAGTATCTGCATGAGCGTGGAATTCTAAGAGACTTCAGAATATAAGACAAGGCTTCTCTGAAAAGTAGATTTCCAGGATACAACAACACTTTCAGCAAGGAATTTTTAAGTTCCGTCAAGAGCAACAAGATTTATGCTGGCTGCTACAGAGACAGCTATAAGAATTTCCTCCTGATCAAAATTATGTCTCTCAAAATGTCTCACCTTTTGTAAGGCACTCCACCTTCACTGTGATGTGAATCAAGCATCTGAAGGCTGTAGAGATCCAGAAATGTATTAGGACTCTCTTGAAAGCAATTTTAACATTACTTTCCAAAGGATTCTTGGAACAAATTCTCCATGGGCAAGGATGGTGGATATTAGTCATATCTGACATCTAACTCTTGCCCCCAGCCCCTAACAACTGCTGACCTGTGTCATACATTTGTTTCTTCTACCTTATATTACAAACTCCCTACGGAAGGGAACATGACATGTTTGTACAGCACTATGCAAATTTACAGTGCTATAAAGCATTTTTATACCACTCTACACATGACTAGATACATAAAACATTAGAAGGAAACCAAGCTAGGAGATCCACTGAACACCCATTTCCTTTGTTAGACACAGGAAAATGAATTGGATTGCTCAAACAAAACTAACAATGATGATCACATCACAAATTTGGTTGAGTTCTCCTTCCTCAAGTAAGGGATAGTAGTGTCCAGGGCTGAAAATGATCTAGAAAATGCAAGATGACCAACACCTGACTATGCTAGTGAACCACTCTGCCCTCCAGGTATTATGTTGCTGCATTCAGAGTTCCACTCAAGGAGCAGCAAAAGGGCAGAACACCAAAGGGTTTTTTGCTGTTGTTGAATTTTATGGTTAACAAAACGTAACATTCTGTAATTTCTGAATTTTACAGTGGGCCAAATTCTGCTTTTACTGTATCTGTGACTTCTACAGAATAAAATATATCCCTTGTGCACATATCTGCAGGCAGCATTTGAGC